GCTTTTTCAATCTTCTGAAATAAAAAGTTGTCTTCAATGCAATCCAAGAATTTACTGGATAGTCTGTGCCCCGCTGTGTTAGTTTCCCAACATGTATCTGGATTGTTCAAGTCCCCCATCGCCACCAAATCCTGTGCTTTGGATGATTTTGTTGTTTAGATTATCAAGTCCATCCCTTTGCCCAGGTAGGACTGATACCCATGGTACACTCTCTCTAGAGTCCTGTCCTGTTTACTTTGAAAAGAAGTTCTGAATGATGTTGCTCCTGGGGGAGACAAACTGCCTTCCAAACCTTATTGCTTGATTTACTGTTTGCCTCAAGTGCTATTGTAATGTATTAGGCAATCAAATACTTCCCAATACTTTCCATGTTGAAACAGTTGAGTGCTGGCGCTCAGTCTGTAAACTGCACTCTGAGAATGAGCAGATGAAATTTTGCATGTTGTTACTTGTCACGGGATGGCACTCATCCCCACAGGGCCTCCCACTGGTCACTCCAGAAATCAGCTTTCCTGCTAAAGACTGCCCTCTGCTGGTCAGTGTCCCAGCCTCTGGTGCAGGTCTTCTCCTGGTTCAGCTTCATGTCCCTTCCTGGTCATGGTGCCCTTCCCTCCTCCGACTGTCTAGGTCAGTGCCTCTGCACTCTGGGGTCCCTACTTCGAGGGAACCCCCCATTCCTCTATACCCACCTTGCCTCTTTGACCTGCTGCCAGCCATCCTCACAAACTGCTGTCTGAAATGGCCACTCATCATTGGCAAGGGGAGCGTACCTGCTGCCTTTTCCTATCACAGCCTTAGTACGCTCAGACCCTGCAGGCTAGGGGTGAGGTCGGGCGTGCGTGCATGCGTGTTTTTTTTTTTTTTTCTCCTGCCTTCCAGGAGCCCTTATTTTTACAGCCCCAGCTGGGCCATAATTGGTTGCATCTGCCTCAGCTGCGGGCTGGGTTTTAATCTTTAATGGGCCAATGCCAAGCAGTTGTCCACAAATTTTACTGATGGACAGAAGCTGTGGGAAACCATGCAAAAGTGGTAACTGATGCAAGAACTAATCTTCATTTCATAATTGCCCAAATTGGTTTTTGCTTTGGATTTCAGCTCTCTGCAGTCTCATTAAGTACTCCAGAATCATAATAGGTTTAAAACAAACAAAAGGAAGCACTTGTTCACACAACACACAGTCAATCTGCGGAACTCCTTTCCAGAGGATGTTGTAAAGGCAAGGACTTTTACCAGTTCAAAAAAAGAGCTAGATAAATTCATGGAAGTTAGGTCCATTAATGGACCTATTAGCCAGGATGAGTAGGAACGGTGTCCCTAGACTCTGTTTGTCAGAAGCTGGCAATAGGTGACAGGAATGGCATCACTTGATTACCTGTTCTGTTCATTCTCCCTGGGGACACCTACCATTGGCCATGTTGGAAGATGTCTGACCTAGTATGACTGTTCTTGTGATAATAACCCCACTTTTTTTTTTAATTCAAGGGTAAATGTGTCTTCCCCTCCTTTACTGAAGGACCCTGTCCTGAATGCCATTGCAGAAAAATATAACAAGACGGCAGCACAGATCACTCTGCGTTTCAGCATCCAACGAGGGATAGTGGTCATTCCCAAGAGCTTCAATCCACAGCGGATCAAAGAAAACTTCCAAGTAAATTATAGATTAGTCTCTACTTCACTGATACCTGCTGATCCTGTTTAGGATGTCTCCCCCTTCTCTTCTGAAGCAAACAGGAAATTCAGCAACCTCATAAACCTTTTCTGTGTTGACTTACTCACCCTCATTTCTATCATCCAGTGATGGCATAATAGAGGGGAAGCTAGTATGGACAGGATATGGATGGGAGTCTTCATCAGTGTCATCTAGACTTATTCCAAATAGGCTAAAACTCCAGCAGCCAATTTACACTAGTGCTCTCACTTACAGTAGTGCAATAGTAAGATCAAGTAAACACAATGTAGGTGGACCAGTTTTATCTGTTTGTAATGACACTAAAGGTATGTGCAGCTTGTATCCTCTAATTCCCAGCCATTGCTCAGGGCTTGTAGTTTCTTGTTAGCCAGACATAGAGGAGGTGTTCTGTATCCTTCTGCCTACAAGGTCGGAAGGTTTGCAACTTTCCCTAAAGAGTCAAGCATGACTCTCAACCCCTTCACTCTGTGTGTGTCTCCCTTATTGCTCCCCCTTTTCTAAGCAGTCTTTCTCCCTTAAGAAAATGGCCTAGAGGGGCTAGAAGAATTGCCATTCTTCCCTTAAGACTGAGCTTGGTGAATATAACAAGTCTTATAACCCTTCCCCAGAAGTCGGGACTTTGACCATTAAAATGTGCAAGGACTTCTGCTTTTGTTTCTGAAAACTAGTTGAAATTTCATAGATTTGTAGGGCTGGATGGGATCTCAGGGACATGTCAAGTCCTCTTGGCTAAGGCAAGGCCAACAAAACCTGGACCAGCCCTGACAAGTGTTTGTCCAACAGGGATTCTACATTCTTTCTTGGAAGCCTATTCCAGAGCTTAACTACTCATATGGTTAAGTTTTTCCTAAGGTCAGTCTAACTTAAATGTCCCTTACTGCAGATTAAGCCAATTGCTTCTATCTTCCCTTCAGTGAATATGGAACAATTGATGCTTCTAGAACAGCCCTTAGTGCTGTACCCTTGAAAGCTCATACCACCATCTACATGTTTTGTTAGTCTATAAAGTGCTACCAGACCACTTTTTGGTTTGTTTTTTCCTGTAACAGACTAACTCGGCTACCCTGTGAAGCTCCTGAAAAATTATCAGATTTCCTCAGTCGTCTTTCCTCAAGACTAAGCATGCCCACATTTAGACACTTTCCTCACAGGTCAGGATTCTAAAGTTTTTTTTGTTGCTCACTTCAGGGCTTGCTTCAGTTTGTCCACTGTCATTCCCCATTTTGCAGTGGTGCATTTGATTTTTCCTTAAATACAGTATTTGATACTTCTATTGAATACCACTTTTTAATTTTTTTGGACCAGTTCTCCAATTTATCAAGCTTGTTTTGAATGTTTAATCTTGTGGTAAAATGCTTGCAACTCTTTCCAGCTTGTTATCTGCCAGAGTTATAAGCATGCTCTCTGCTACATTACCCCAGTCGTTACTGAAAATATTGAGTAGTACCATGTCCAGGATTAACCACTGAGGTACCCCACTAAATGTAACCTCACAATTTTGACATCACAGTATTGATAACTGCTCTGAGTGTTTTTTCAACCAACTGTGAACCCACTATACAGTAATCTAATCTAAACCACATTTCCTCAGTTTCTTTGTGAGAAAGTCATGTGGGACCTAATCAAAAGCTGTACTGAGATCCAGATATAGCATCTGACTCACCTCCTCTCCCCACCCCAAGCCCTGCCCCAATCAACTGATCCATTAACTATGTCCAAGATGTAAATTAGGAACAGCAAGCATGAATTTGTCAAACAAACCCTGCCAAACCAACAACCCTATTATTCTTACAAATGGACTGGGAAAGATACTAGAAGCAATTATTGTCAAGGTATCGAAGTTCGGCTGACTGGTCTACAATTTAGTCTCTGGGTTCTCATTAAAATAAATGTTAATTGAAT